TAATCTTTATCTGTATTTTGTCCCATATATGTGCACTAAGCAATCTTAAAAATTGTATAACTAGCACAGCTAGTGTGGCTAAGTGGTTGAGCATTGACCTGTGTACCAGGAGGTCACGGGTTCAATTCTCACAAGGGGCACATGCCCGGATTGTGGTCTCAATCTCCAATGTGGGGTGTGCAAGAGGCAGCCAATCACTGAATCTCTCATCATTGATGTTTCTATCAGTCTATCTCTTTCCCTTCCTCTCTGAAATCAATAAAAATATATATTAAAAAATAGTATAACTATGGGAGAATTGGACTAATTTATTCTTGGTGGTAAGGTAGTGGGAGCTCTCCCTGTTTCTTTTGGGGGATGTTGGTTTTTGCTTAAAGTAGATTTAAAAAGTTGATGAATTAAGTAATTATAGTAGCACTATTTCAAATTGAATTATTGAATATCTGGTATATCTTATCTATTTTATTCCACAAATGATTATTGAGAGTCTAGTGTGTGTCAGTCACTGTTGTAGGTCTTTGAGTACATCAGTAAACAAAATATGTCAAAATTCTTTTGTTATATTCCAGTGGGGGAGAGGCAGTCAACAACTGATGGAAATAATAAATAGGTAACTTATTTAGTATTTAAAAGATGATAAAAGAGAAGTACTGGGAGTGCTGGGCATCAGATATAGATCTCCATGAGATGAGATTCCAGCGAAGAGAATGATATCTAGGAAAGTGTTCCAGTGAGACAGAGCAGCTAGAAGAATGCCCCTAAGGCCTGAGGGTGCTTGGCATGCAGGAGGGCCAGTATTAGACTGTTGTGGATAGGTACAGAGCTGCAGGTGCTAGTTGCAGGCATGTGTGGGTGGTCCAGGCCAGTGACAGAGTTGGGGCCAGATATGGGCCCTTGAGCTGCTGTGGGGATCTTGGCTATTGGTGTGCACTCGTACCTCTGTAGGGATTAGGCTTGAGTACGTGCTCAGCAGTGAGGCCAGTGACAGGAATCTGGGCCTGGGGTGTGCAGGTGCATGGCTGCAGGGCCCAGCTGCAGGTGCACTAGTGTAATGAAGTGGTGACAGTAGTTGGGCTGGATCCGGGTGCACAAGGAGCTGTGAGGACCTGGGCTGTCAGTGTGCACTCCTGTATCTTCAGGGGCTAGCTGTGGACATGCATGTGGAAGTGAGGGTTGGCTGTGGCAAAGCCGCAACTGGGGCTGGCTGCCGGTATGGATCTGAGGCCTGGGGCATTTGTGGTGTTACAGCTGGGCTGGCTGAGGAGTGGGGTATGGGGAGTACTTCACACAACTGGTGTCTAACACAAAAACCTATGGAGTCTGTAGCAGCAAAAATTCTAGGGGGTCTGTGGTGGCTATGCTGACCCTTGGTTTTCTCAGTGGCAAAAGCTGCTGGGGTCCTCTGCAGAGCAGTCTGCTAAAGTCTGTGACTAAGTCCTCAGTGATGAAAGCTGAGATCTTCTGCAGAGAAGGACCCTGAGGACCACAGCTGTTCCAACCACTTGGCTGTATAGGTGGCCCCTGTCCTTCCTTTTTCCTAGCTATCTCTAGATGTCTGAGTTATGCCAGTCTCTGGGAGGGTGAAAGCAAAACAGATCCTTTGTGCATATGTCCCAAAAGGCTGAGGAAGCTGGTGGCTCACCTCTTCTCCTCTTCCTGTGGCGGGGAGCTCTGTTGGGCCTGGGAGTTTTCTCTTGGTGCTGAGCAGATGGGATGATGCAGGCCAAGTGAAACGTCTCCTTACTCCCTTTGTGTGATATTCGCAGGCTTTTGCTCCATTGTGTTGATGAAGCTCCCTAAGTGGACTTCTGAGATCTCCCAGAGCTATTAACATAGTTCCTGGATAGCTAAACGCTGTTCTTGGAGGGATGAGGGCTCAGGTCCTCTACTCTGTTGTCTTGATGATGTCACAAATCTCAGATTGCTTTCTAAAATTACATCTGTGTCTAGTCCCAAGCAAGAGGGTACCTTTTCATCCACACGTCTCTAGTGAGAGCCCTTTTAAATTTAGTGCCCTAAACAGTGCTTGAGTATCATATGGGCTTCCTACTTTGAGAAACAGTTTGCTACTTTGCTTTATTTTATAGACAAGGGAGTGGTAAAAAGAGAGATAACATGATTTTCCCAAGTTCTCATGTCATACTCTCATCATGGTTCCCAAGACTAATTTGATAGATGATGATATGTGGTCATTTCCAAGTTGTATTTCCAGCCTTACTTTTCTTGTGTATGCTCAAGCCATAACCTTGGAGTCTTTTCTTTTTCTCCATAAGCCAGTTTGTCACCAGGTCCTGTTGACTCTACCTTTGAAATATATTATGAATCTGGCCCTTACTTATAACCTCTGTTGCTGCTACTTGTACCCAACCAAACCTAGACCACTGCTGCAGATTTCTAATTGGCCTCCTTATTTATAGCCTTGCCCCCATAGGGTCACTTAAGGGCTTTTCTGTGTCCAGACCACTTAATCCCATTTACATTTTATTAATAATAAAATGAAAGCTCTTTCTATGATCTACAGGGTCTTTCATGATCTGATTCTTCACTACCTTCATGGTCCCATCTTCTACCTTCTCCCCTTACTTACTCTGTTCTACTGCATTGGTTTTCTTGCTATTCTTTGAGCAGATTAATAAGTAACCATCATAGAACTTTCTTTGCAGGGGACACTGCTCATATAGATAATGTCAAATTTTCACTAAGTCAATTATTCAGATTTTAGCTCAAATTCTACTTTATCAGAGAGAAATTTGACCTTCGCTCTTATTACTACCTGACATATATGTTATATATTTATCTGTTTGTGGTTTACTCCCTGATTATAAGCTCCATGAAGACAGAGACTATTTTTTTGTTCATTGTTATATATGCAGTGCCCTGAACAGTGCTTATTAGTACTTTGTAAGTGCTCAATAAAATACCTGTTGAATAAACAAATGAATATTTCTATATTGTTCCTGGCCCTTGATATTTGACTCAAGTTGAACTAAACTGTTTCTGGTCAGTAATGACATTGCAAACATTGATTACATGACAGCTGTGCAAAGGCGTTATGCCTTTGTTCATGATGTTCACATTTTCTGTTTCCCATTCTTCAAGCTCAACTCAAATGCAGTTTCTTCAATGAAACCATCGCTTCCCAAGTTGCAGTTAAGCAGTCTTCTCTGTGTGCCTAGTGTGTTATTTGTAGTTCTGTTTATTACCATCTGTCTTGCATTACAGCTATTTATATACATGACTTATCTCTCCTCCTGGATTGAAATAGCCTTTAGGAAATCCTTCTATTCCCTTAGTGCTTGTTCTGGTGTTTTGGCATGCCAGGTACTTGTGAAGTGATCATTGAGATGAATTATGAATGATACTTAAGCCTTTGCTCATGGCATTGGCTCAAATTTAGAGACAGGTTCAAATTCTAATTGATGTAAGGAAGACAAGCTTTTGTAATTTCCTAAAGATAATATTAGAAATTAAAGGACTGGCAAATGGACCATATGGGAATTGAATTCATCTGGCCTTTTGGAGAGTGATTTAGGAATAGGAAAGAGTTTTCTGAAAGTAATGTTGAACAATCACTCTTCCTTTCAAAAGGATAAAGAATTTATATAATAACTAAGAATTTAGCTTTAACATTTGGAAGAACTGTGAACTAATAAATTTAAAGCTCTTGAAATATTTCCTTGGATATCTCTAAAAGTGATTAAACCACTGTTGCTTTGAATAAGGTGATAGTAGTAATTCTAAAGAGCTGAATTCTATAACTTCGTTGAAGATGGTGCTTCTGAATGGTAACCTAGTCATCTATTTTTCTTTCCTGTATTTTAGTGACTGTTGGAAATATTTACCTTTTCTTTTTTTGCTTTTATCACACTCTAGCTCCACAGAAACAGTAGGATCTGTTGTTTTGAACTTATCCAATCCCCTCCCTTCTACATCAACATCTCTGTCTGTATTTCTTACTTCTCTTCTGTTCTACCTCAGAAGAAGACTTGTCTCTCCATCTTCCCCAGACTGAGGCTCTGTCAGAGCTGTTACCCACTCCTCTCTGTGTCTTCAGGTAGGTCTGTACAGTTCCCTTTTTTTCAAAAAGTACTTCCTCTTGGTCCCCCTCCATGTGTGCACAGACTGCCGAGTGTCCTCACAGCATGGTGGCTGGCTTTCCCCAGAGGGGGTTATCAAAGAGTTAGCAGGCCAGGTGGAAGCTCCTTTATGACCCAGCCTTAGAAGGCACAGAGCATCACATTTTCCTCAGTCTCTTTAGTGGAAGTGGCCTGCATTCAAGGCTGAGGAATTAGATTCTACCTCTTGATGTGGGAATGTTTTGTAGACATAATTTAAAATGATTACAGCATTGTTGGGGATGATGTCTCAGATTCAGTGCAAGAAGAGGGAGCTTTATAATTTTATTGATTTTTAATAGGTAATAATATATGCATGCAGTACACAATTCAAAGCAGAGGTAAGTCTTTCTTCACCCTGGCTACCCACTTGCATTCCTGAAGATAGCCATGTAACCATTTTGTATCTTTCTTTTCAGAGAGATTCCAATTCCATGTGAATACAGGAATATTTATATGCATGTGTATGTATACATAAACACATGTATATATATGTATTTGTGTATATGTATATATAACCACTTAAGTATGATTATATATTTAAGAAGAGAAATTGTGATATGGAGGTTAAGGGCTCCAGCTTCCACAGTAGGGCAGCAGTGGCTTCCTCCCTCTGATTGGTGAGGACCACTCCTCTCTGTGGGAGGACAGCAGTTCCCAAATATGACTGATCGTCACAGTGACAAGGAGCTGTTTTATTTAAAGCCAATTTTTTCCCTCTACCTTAGAGTTTCTGATCTGATAGGCTTGGAGTGGGTCTGGGAATTTTTATTTTAATTATTTCCCAAGGATAACATGGCATACTCTGTATGGAGGTAATTTGGTAATATCTTTTAAAATATACATTATCCTAAAGTCTGACTTCAAGGTTTTTATTCCACTTATAGCAGCCAGTGCCTGAAATACGTGCACAGGTCACATAAGAGACTTATCAAAACAAAAACCTTAGAAAACTTCCGAGGAATGCAGTGAACAGGTAAGGAGAGGAAGTGAGATTTCTCCATATGAAACTGTTTATAGTTTCAGTCTTTGAACCAGAATATGCCACTTATTCAATAAAGGAATGTATAAATATTTAACAAAATGAGCAAATAAAACAAAATAAACACAGTACTTCTAGTGGTCAGCCTTGTGGAGGCCCAAGGAGGCAGTAGAAATCCATTACCCCTCTACTCCCTTTCCCCTTTGTTGCTCCTCTCAAGAGCTTTTATTTTGTCTTGTTAGTAGAAGTCTTCCTGGAATTTGTGAGATAACTAGTCAGCATTTTCAGTTTCCTTGTATAGTTGACACTTTGTATTACCTTTTGTATTTTCACAACTATTTCATGGTAAGGCAGGAGGAGGGCAAAGCCTGTCTTGCTATCTTTATTCATCTGTTCACTTATTCATTCAGTGAACTTGTTGAACTATTAGCAAGGGCCAGATGCTATTCTAAATGCTGAGGGGGGGGGGGGGGTAATGCTGGCAAAGAACAAGGATGAGGGGCCCGACTTTGTAGAATGTAGACAGGATAGACAATAACTGTGTAAAACAAGCAAATAAAATAAGTTTATCAAGTATTTAGTGATGAAACTAGAACAGACTGGCAGGGAGGACTGCTTTGGATGACTGTTATGATTGACAGGGAGGGCCTCCCTGAGGAGATGGTATCTGAAATGAGACCTGTGTGATGAGAAGCAGGAAGCCATGTGAGGATCTAGGCAAAGTGTTCCAGGCGGAGGGCACAGTGAGTGCGGAGATGCTGAGGAGCACCTTGCTTATCACTTCTCAGGAACAGTGAGATCCAGGGGGAGGTGGACAATGGGAAAACAAATGGTAGAAAATGAGGTCAGAGAGTTAGAGAGGGCTAGTCCTTGCACGCTCTGGAGCACACAGTGATGAGCTTGGAGTTTAAGTGCATTGGGAAGCTGTTCATGTCTTCAGCAGATGAATGACGTGTTTTTAGCCAAGACCTCTCAGACAGATGTCTTGAGGGACCTCAAATTCAACATGTCTAAAACTAAACTCATTACCTCATCCCCTAAGCTTGCACCTCTGCCTGTCTCTTGGTGAATGACACTATTCATTTTGTTACCCAAGGTGGAAATTTGACATTGTAGACCCTTCTTTAATTTATTATTGCCTGTGTTCTGTTCTGTCACCAGGTCCTTCTTGATTCTACCATGTTCTGTGTGCATTTTTCTCTGTTTCTCCATCTTAACTGTTATGGTTAATCCATCATCATCTCACCCATTAAACTAATATTTATTTCCTACTGCCTCTGTGCCAGTCATTTTTCCAGGTGCTGGAGGCACATCAATAAAGAAGCCCTCTTGGAGCTTATAGTCTATTAAGAAAGAAAGATAAGTTTAAAAAATAGTGATGCACTATGGTGCCATGTTATGGAAAAAGCTGTCTATGGAAGCCTGTAGCAAGTGTCCTTCACCTGGGAAGTACCTTAGGAAATGATACCAAAGGGCAGTGGCGGTGGGAAGGATGTTCCAGGTAGGAGGTGAGAAGAGAGCAAGGTATGTTTGCAGTATGGTCTAGCGGGATTAGAGGTTAGGGAGCTGGTAGGGAGTTAGCAAGCGAGTCTGGACTTTACCTTGGGACAACAGGAGCCACTGAAGGGTGATCAACAGGGAAGAGATGAGTTCATAAGGGCATTTTAGGGCTGCATACAGACAATGGATTGAGAGGGCAGAAAGACTAGAGTTATATGTTGGTTGGGGTTGATGCAATATTCTAGGAGGCTACCAGTGAAAAGCTCCAGTGAGTCAGAATGAGTTTCCTGTATGGATATCTAAATTAATTCATCAGATCAAATTTGAGTTATGATATAGTAGCAGCCCAGATTTCCCAAACACACTAAAGCAGAATTTTTTTGAAACTAACACTTTTTTGTATTATTGGGAATGTCTTCAGAATATGAAAGCTCTATTGTATTGGGTCTGAAATGAATTCCATTTAAATATGAAATTAATTGAAAGCCTGCTCTGAATATTTTTTTTATAGATTTCACACTCCTTTAGAAATTTCATTTTGCCTCATGTTTTAGTATTGGTGATAAATACTGGCAATAGAAGATGTGGTGTTGAGGGCAATGACAGTGGGAAGTGTGGGTGATGGTGTAAGTGGGAAACTGTCCACTTTTATTATGGGAAGGGAGTGGCGTGGCAGAGGCAGGCAGATGAATGGATTTATGGTGCTTCCATTGGAACCAGGACTGACTGTGGAAAGGAAGCACCTGTTAGTGGTGGAGATATCATTCAGTCCCCAACTTACCACTTTGGCTATTGGAATTTAATAAGCTCTTTGGAATTTTAAATGTAATAGAAGAGGTGATTGTTTTTTCCTTTCTTCAGCTTTTTGTATCCATCTGTCCCACACATATTTGTTGACACTGTTAGGCATTACACCACCAAAAAATGTGGCTTTTGCAACTGAAGTGTCAATCCTGCCTTTTGTGTAAAAGGGGAAATATGAAGGGTTTTATCTTGTAGTTCTCTTCATGGGTTTTCATAAAAAGACTCAGGAAGGGAACTACAAAACCTGTGTGCCAGGCTTTGTTCTAAACACTTTACCAATATTAACACACTTAACCCTCATGACAGCTCTGTGAGGTAGATGCTATTATTAGTAGTATTTTATACAGAAGAGAACTTGGGCACAGAAGATCAATAACTTGCCTAAGTCACACAGCTCTTAGGTGGCAGAGCTGGATTTGAACCCAGGACTCTAGTCCCAGAGTCGGCTGTTGGGGAAGATGATGCAGGAAGATGTGCAAGTAGGGCGTGTGCAGCTGACTGTGTGTTCATGGGCTAAATGTGAACCCAGAGGGCTTTTTTCTACTTTCACTTGTTAGAAGACCACTGGTACATGTGGAAAAGATTAGATTACATTTTTTTTTTTGATTTACTTTTCTTTATATATTTTTCTTTTTTTTTCTTTTTTTTTTATTGCTTAAAGTAATACAAAGGGTATTACATATGTGTCCATTTCCCCCCCCCCCCCCGCCCTAGACAATCCCCTAGCCTCCCCTATCCCCCAGTGTCTTATATCCATTGGTTGTGCTTATATGCATGCATACAAGTCCTTTGGTTGATCTCTTACCCCCCTACCTCCTGTCCCCCAACCCTCCCCGGCCTTCCCGCTGCAGTTTGACAATCTGTTTGAGGCAGCTCTGCCTCTGTATCTATTATTGTTCAAAAGTTTATAATGGTCTCTATTATCCATGAATGAGTGAGATCATGTGGTATTTTTCCTTCATTGACTGGCTTATTTCACTTAGCATAATGCTCTCCAGTTCCATCCATGACGTAGCAAATGGTAAGAGTTCCTTCCTTTTTAGAGCAGCATAGTATTCCATCGTGTAGATGTACCACAGTTTTCTAATCCATTCATCTACTGATGGGCACTTAGGCTGTTTCCAGATCTTAGCTATGGTGAATTGTGCTATGAACATAGGGGTGCATATATCCTTTCTGATTGGTGTTTCTGGTTTCTTGGGATATATTCCTAGAAGAGGGATCACAGGGTCAAATGGGAGTTCCATTTTCAGTTTTTTGAGGAAACTCCATACTGTCTTCCATAGTGGCTGCACCAGTCTGCATTTCCACCAGCAGTGCACAAGTGTTCCTTTTTCTCCACATCCTCTCCAGCACCTGCCGTTTGTTGATTTGTTGATGATAGCCAGTCTGACAGGTGTGAGATGGATGCTCAAAGTCACTAATCATCCGAGAGATGCAAATCAAAACAATAATAGATTACATTTTTAAAATCTGCTTTTTAAATACATAGTTTTATTGCTGCTATGAATTTTAAAGAACCAGCCTTAAAAAATACCCAATAGTTTAGCTTTGCCTCCTAAATTAAAACAAACACCATTTTTATTTTTAGTTTATTACTTTCAAGTTTACTGAACTTCCCCCCCCCCAGAATATTGTGGGTGCAAGGACCCATGTTTATATATCAACATAAAATACAATCTAATGTACAGTTGACCTTGAATAACATGAGGGTTAGGGCACCCAACCCTGCCCAGTTGAAAATCTAAGTATAACTTTTGACTCCCCCAAAACTTAACTGTAATTGTCCCTCAATATCCAGAGCATTGATTCCAGGACCCCTACAGATACCAAAAATTATGATGCTCAAGTCCCTTGCATAAAATGGCATAGATCAATGCATACATTTGGCCCTCTGCACCCATGGATTCCCAACTGTGGATTGAGAATACTATTGTTGATTACTTTTGGTTGAATCTGTGGATATGAAATCTGGGGATATAGATGGCTTACTGTTTAGCTATTGAAAAAAATCCACATATAAATGGACCCATACAGTTCAAACTGTTGTTGTTCAAGTGTCATCTGTATATGATTTTTACATCATTCCCAGTTTTAGATGATTTCCTAAATGGTAAAATAGTGCATGTTTGAATGCACTTTTCAACAATAAAGCATATAACAAGCATTCATTGTCAGCTTGTGTCAGGAGGATAATGAATTTAAAGCTTTCTCTCCATTACTTGCCAAATATAATTATAGAGGGCTAAATTCTTGGTATAAAAGCTATTTTTTTGGTATTTATATTTTATTAAAATTTAAAATAATTTTCAATTACAGTTGACATACAATATTATATTAGTTTCAGATACAGCATAGTGATTAGACATTTATATAATGAATTCCAGGTGATCACCCTGATAAGTCTATTACCCATCTGATACTATACATAGTTATTACAATGTTATTGACTGTGCTCCCCATAGTAAAATGTGTTTTAAGAGAAAGAATTTAAGTCAGACCATGTTCCATTTTTTTAAGAAAAATGATCACAAATAATTGAAGTAATTTATGTATTTTTAAAAATATATGTCTGTCCAGTAGATTATAAGTGAGTGGTGGTATAATTTAATGTATGTTAGAACACTTTCAATAATACTCTCCAAGCCCATCCATGCTGTTGTACGGTAAGGTTTCCTTCTTTTTTTATG